TCTCTCTCTCTTTTTCTCTCTTCATTAAATATTTATATAAATTACCGTTATCGTACGCTTAATTACTTGTATACATTTCATTATGTTTCCCATATCATTGCATCATTGCTTCCCCTCCGTTCATGGTTACGACGTTCCTTCCGGTATTCTTGCGCGACCTCAAAAGACGAGGCGTGTACGCGCCTATATCCGCCTACGTCTTCCCTTTCCCGTGGTTTTCCTCCTTTTCCTTTTTATTTATTCTCAACGGACTGTAGCGGACGCCCTCGAAGCCTTCGGCAAACGACCGCAAAACCGCGCCTTCCATCGTCGGCGTGGTGCACGGTGTGCCAACTACCGACGAACCGGGGCGGCAAAACCGCTCGTAAAAACGCCAGTTCCGTTCGACCTGTTCGCCAAAATGTGGCGACGACACCCCGTGTAAAATCCACCGCTGAACGCGGAGCCGTGAATGTAAAAATGACATTGACGAGGTTGACGTGATCTAAAATAATGCTGCAAATCTATGTTCAACATAACATCGATCTAAAATACATGTTTAATAAATTTAATATAAGGAATATAATATATATTAAATGGAAACTCAGAAATTTATTATTTTACTAATCGCGACATTAACATGTGACAACATACTTTCTTTTTTTTTTGTTTTTTTTTTTTTCGTTTTAGTTTCTTGGCGCTAATATGGACTTTCATTTGCTCGTAAATGCGATTACTCGTTGCGAAATATAACACCTAATGGTGCAACTTGGAGAACGCTAATTTTTCTTCGTCTCTTTTACGAGTTTCTTTCTCGATTTTGTTTCTTTTTTGACGATGAGTGGAATCACGTGGTCGTTAGTGACCATAAGTGGTACATGTAACAATTAAAAATTATGGCGCACACGTTCGACGAAGAAATACGTGTCCTCTTTAATTAACAACAACTTTCGCATTAAATTTTGATTAAAAGACGCGAACTAATTAAATATAAACTCAACGCATACGATTTCTTTAATTATTAAAGAAACGATTGCTATCTAATTACTATTAATTGCATGTTATCATTGCATTTCACAATATTTTAGAATAATATTATTTATATAGCATAATGTACATATAAAATAAATATATAAATTTTATAAAATTATTTTATATAACGTCAAATTTAGTGAATATTGCTGAACACATGAAATATTTTTCATTTTTTCTTTCTTTTCTTTTTTTGTTGTTAAAAAATTTAAATTGATTTGTGAGATATATTACATATAATGCATGCGATGTGTGCATTACATTTTGACAGTGATGAATAGCGAGAGATTGGCTATCGCGACATCGAAATTTCCCTCATAAATTTTGATGCATTTGGTTATCAAAAATCTGTACATTACATATAGACATATACCATAGATGTAACCTATTCCATTATTTCAATTTAAACGTCGATATTGGCATGAATATGATATGATGATATGATAATAAATTTGGCCTAAATCGCAAATCGAAATATTTTCCAATGCATATATTTGCCATTATCGTATTAAATTTTCATACTTCATTTTGTAATCATCTCAAATGTAAGTAGACAAAAAAATGCTACGTAACAATGCGATTCACAAATAATATTTTTTACAAAAAAATCTAAGAGAAACACAATATGTGTTTCTAAATAAAATTTAACAAAATAGATTTTAATGCATAATTCTAAAGTCTGAACTTTTTATCTTAGAAGGAAGTCGAGAAGCTTACAGTTTTATTAAATTTTTATGAAATTCAAATTAAAGTAAATGCATGTAAAACTACTGGTTTGTATGAAAATTAACTTAGCTATATGAATTTTTAACGATGAGCTATAATTATGTCGTGTTTAAATTAGATAAGAGGAATTAGTTTACGTTTATTGAAAAAATATATGTAAATAGCGATTAGCGAATAGACTGTTCTCTGAAATCCGTCTAAAACGGATCTTTTTGTAAAATAAGGCGACGCCATCAAACAGCCACGATCGTAATTAAAGCAACGAATCCGGCGCATTCAAATGGCAAATAAAATCAGTCGACGGTCGAGCTGACATGACAGTTTTCAATTAGACTAGTTTCGTCTCAAACGCTACTGACGTTTTGGAGAATCGAGTAATTTCCACGAAGAAGAGTAGAAAAGGTTAGTTCGTTAACTCGCGACTGATTTACACGCTCTCATAAAAGCTGCATGAGAGAGAGACGCGGAGCCGAGAAGTTAATAACGCCATGGGTGGCATAAAGTTCTGTCAAGCAATTCGCAGAAAGCTGAAGGAGAACGATAAAGTTGACACACGCATTGATTGATGTTCCTACATCATAAAGCGAATACAAAAGAAAGTCCGTTACTTATTGAACTTTTTCGCAAGCGAAAATATTAAATCAGGGACTTCGAAATTTCAAAAAAAGTAAAAGAAAAATCGTCTCTGGATGATGACGAAGAAAAATTTTCCTCTTTAATAATAACTTTCTTATTTTCTTTTCCTTTTGCTTTTATAAACGTACATCACTTAGTAACTTAATGCTTGAATCCAATTATTCTAACGCTTTAGCGCATTTCATTTAACGCGTGTAAATGAAATTACTTAGAGAGTCTACAAAAGCGCCACCGTCATACGGCATCTTCTGAAGATTTATCTTTGTTTTCAAGATAGCGAATGCTATTTTGTGCCAGGGTCATTTCCGCTATTTTTTTAAGATAGATTAAATATGAGTAGATTTCTGTTTTGCGAAACATGTCTTACGCCTTTAAGCACAGAAACGCGATAATAACTTATCTAAAAGCTAAGCTAAACTTCGGTAGCGGCGGAAACATTAATTAATATTAGATGATATCGTAAAGACCCTCGAAGATAAGCTTTGTTCGCGTCATCTCATTTCCTCGACCATTTTCCTGTGCAATTTTTATTTAATCGCAACTGCCGCATTAAAAGTGCCTCTAGTAACCGCAAAGCTGCCTTTCATCGGCCAATGGAATCGCAACTCTGATTGCGACTTGGCCGCAGTCTGGATTCCGCCCAAGTGAGAGAAGCGAGAAGTTATCTTGAGAAGAGAGCGAGAATAATTTTTCAATAAAGATTACTCTTTCGCAATGGAGGCATACGAGCCATCTGAGAAACTCTCTCGTGTAATTCCTTCTTTTGCGAATATATCCTATAACGTTAAAACATTGATTGACGTTAATAAAATAATTCGAATCAGTAATACAAGCATGACTGCTCGTAAAGAAATATACTATTAAAATTCATTATTTTATTATAAAATAAAGTAATCATAAAGAAATGCTATTACATTAATTATCTTCTAATGACATAAACAGTCACATTATTATCAATATTTTCATAAACTGATTTATACAAATTTATACACAAACATTGTCATTAAATTACATGTTGTATTATCGTGCATATTACCATATACGTCTACATGCATTAATTTAATTCAATTTACGATTAAAACTTACATATTGTTGTCGGCGCTCTGTTATCAATTTCGTATATTTTTAAAGTAATATTAATATTATGTCAATAAGAAGAGAGGCAATTCGATAGGAATTCTTGGACCTCAGTCTTGGCTGATGAGTGCGGTGATAATAATAATTATCGTCCCCGCAGCGGGTATCCTCGCCATTGAAATCCCATTGTCCTTAGAAAATGTTACGGCTGCCACGGGTATTAGTTTACGCCGACGATGAAGACTCGGAAGGTCGTGGTTTACGAATAACTTTCCTCCTTTTATTACCAAGATCAGCGTGAAGCCCTTTACAATGGCGCGGTTGAGATATTGGTGAATACAGAGTGTACATAATATCTCGAGTCATATCAAATATCGTGGGTGAGTAAGAGCTTAAGCCTAGGGAGCGGTATTCCTTCGATCACATACGAAGCATGTTTTGCTCGCGAATGTCATGGCAAAAAAAATAGAGCCGAAAAACTTTTTGCGGTTTATCATTATCCTTCCCTTGTACCGTATTCATAAGCAGGCATTTAATTAATTATAAAAGTACGAAATAATATTGAGTGATGTTACTTTAGAATATGATATCATGAAATTTGCTTAGTCAATCAAAAATTGATTGTGCTCGAAAGATTGCGAATTTTTTTATCTAAATTATTCTAATAATTGATTTGTTGACATATGAATGCCATTCCCTCTTTTTATTCCCGCGAAAATTTGCTAGAAAATCAAGGAAAAAATATAATAAAATTATTATTTTGTAATAATTCGTATAATTCTTAGAAATAATTTTATTGTCATTCCTTTTTTAGCTTAAACTTTCCATTAGTTAAGATCTTTTCTATCGCATCTTTCTCCGCTTGCTTTTCTTGTTGCGATCAAATTTATGAGTGAAGATAAAAAAACTGTTGGTACAATTGTAACGATGTTTATTTATTCTAATCTGGCAAATAATTGTTCCAGACTGCATTACACACCGGAGTTGGCGCTCAGCAGCAACTATTGGAGCCGAGAATGGCGCAGTTGGAGACCTTAGAAGCCAAGGTAATGAAAACTCTTAAATTGCAATTTTCCTGAAGGGATAAAATTCCCTGGAACGATAAGAGCCAGGTCGAGGCCTGAGGTGAAATGGCGCGCGAGAATTCACGCGATAGAAAGTCATCCCGCGTCAGCCTCGTGGCACCCTCCTGGCTCTCGATATTCTTTTTGCTTTTCTTCCCCGTGCCTGGCGGCGGTGCCGATCGTCCGTCTTGTGGGAGCTGTTTTTAGTGGTACCCTCGGAAGAAACCGAAGGCGATGTTTCGCGGTTATTGGCGAGTCGGCATTATAACCCGCCGGTTTCTTAAGGCTGCCCGGCCAATGATTTATATGCAGATGCGTGAACTAAACTTCGTTTGGTCCTGAGGTCTTCGGACCCAAACTCGGTGACCGGTTCGGGGAGGAGGATGGGGGAGAAGGGGAGGATGGTGAAGGGGGGACCAAGGGCCCCTGCGCGCATCGGTACCATTAAAAGTGGCCCGGCGCGGACGTCCAGTGGCGCAGCATCCGCAAGAACCGTTCGATTTTTTTCCACGACGCGACAAGAACGAGTAGATCGAGCGTGCAGCGCTTGCGAGCTCGTTTTTCGATATAACGATGCTTTTACGTTTTCCTTTTTTTTTTTTTATTTTGCATCGTTTAAGTCGTCGGATTCCTCGCACCTGATTGCAGGGAAGAGCGCAGGCTGAAATTGAAAATTATGCGGGCAGCGTCATTATATCTTCACGACCTGCATGCGTTTTTTAGAAACTATGAAACAACAGCGCCTTGCGCAAATGCATGAAGCTTTCTTTATTATCTTCGCTAATATCGCAGTCGAAAGTAAAAGGGCTGCAAAAACTTAATTCAGGCATGAGACGAAACCAACGTGTTTAATCAAGGAATATAATATAGCTTTAGTAGTAAAATGTTTAGCCTTGTCGAAATTTGTACTGACGTAAGCTACATTATTAATTAAGCTTTTTTTTTTTAAAAAGTAATATTTGAGAATTTCGGTTTACTTGACGCGCGTATGTCGTAAATCATTGTCATCTGCAAACATCTATGTTATCCTTACAAAACGTGCGATAAATCAGAATTATCGCGAGCAAATATTTGACCGAAACAAGATCGGTACGACTAATTTATCCGCCACAAGCGCGGAGGGATTATCGATTGCATTTCCACTTAATAGCAGCGTTGCGATGACGAAGCCCTGTAGTCCGCTAATAAATGGACGCGCTACTTGTAATTAGACGTAGCCTTAATTACCCCATCGGGATAGATCGTCGCAACCACACCCCGATCGCCGCCGGGCGTTGTTGAAATACAGTTGAAATAATATCGCAAGCTGATTAGCATAAGTACAATCGCTTCCCTCGTGTAATGGGCCCTTAATGCGGCGTTATCAATCACGACTCGCTTGCATTTGATCGTTTCACCCTATTATAAAATAATGACCATGTATTTTTTTTTTTTATAAGAACATGATACGATTTGTGGATGGCGACCTCGAGCAATCGGACATCAATAACAACAATGATTGAAAATTATTTTGCATTCTCTTTATTATGATTAAATTTATAAAACAGATCCCAATGTATTAATTATGGAAATTAATATAAAAACCCATGGATTGATTCTGCAAAAATTTCAGTATTACTAACGCTATAAGAGTATGATACGTGGATGATGATCTCAGACAATCAAGCATCAATAAGCTGCAATTTGATTGAAAATTATTTTGCATTTCGTTAATTATGATTAAATTTATAAAACAAATCCCGATGGAGTGTTAATTATGAAAATATTAACGTAAAATGGATTGATTCTACGAAAATTTCGCCAGCATTACTAACGGTGTCTCGAGGAAAGACACGCGCAAACGTAGGAAAGAACAGCGAATATTTATCGCTGCAATATTTACTTCTGTTTGCATATTCATCTGTTTGATTAGACATAGTTAATATTTATTTTCGTCGAGAGGATCAGGTTTCCGGACGGAAAGGAGAGATGCAAATGCGCACACTTAACTCACTCGACGAGACTCGGGATTTCTCAAATCCTGATAGCACACTCCGCGTTCTAATTTATAGTTCTGTCATATGCATAATATGCATTGCGAGGCAATATCTGTTCTATTATTTCGATATTCTGATTATTTCTAATCTCGCGCTGCAGCTTCATCGTCTCTAACTCGCTTCAATTGCGGAGCGATGAATAGCGATGAATCTCCATCCATCCAATACGCACGCTCGCGCGTATTCCATCTGTATCGAATAGTATTTTGATAAATGCATATCCGCCGGTCATTATTTATCGTCCGCGTTGGCTAAGCCTTTCTTCTTGCGACGAGTGGACCTGGACAACAGGCACGCCCTCGTACCGCCAAGGTAGTCGAACGATCCGGTTTCCTAACCAGCATCGTTAAGTTCGCGTTCTCGAACCATACCTTCAGCCTTGCTCATTGCACAATTCAACATTGGACATATTGACTCCGGGAGTCACTGGAAACCGCATCGCGAACACGAACACGACTGATGCAACTTTGCGTTATCCTCGAAGATGATTGATTTTTTTCCATCGCGAATGGAACGAGGAAACCGGAATTATCCTAAGAGCAGAACAAAGAAGGATAGATTTTAATATCGCCAAGATATTTTCTCGTTCGTAACAGAGGACTCTCGCAAGAATTGTTAGGTCGTATGCTTTAAGAGATTTCCTTCGATCGAGACTAAAGTGCAGTCGCGATCCTGAGATGCAAACAGGTTTGCGCGTTTTAAAGGAGGGAGAAAAGCGCCTTCGAGGAGCTTCCCATGGAACTTGTTCGATATGAAATCCATCGCGATATTTACGCTCGAGCAGATTAATACGTCGAGTTTTGCTTTCGCGAGACGAATGCGGCGACGTCGAGAAGAGGCAAAGAGGACGGGAACGCCGCGTGCTGGGGGTTGATATGAATAATGAAAGAGAACGTCGTGGCCTGAGGTCGCATCAACGTCGGAAAGCATCCCTGCCTAGGAGACGAGGACGCCCGTGAGGTTGATCCTTAGCGGGTAAGAAATCCTCTCTCATTCGGATTCCTATACAATAGATATGTCTTGAGAAATCCGCTCCGATTTCATTAGTAAACGATTCGCGTCACTAAATAGATTGGAGAAAGAATGATTCTTGACACATATTTGTAAAAAATTTTTACAAGCAAGATATATAAATATGAACCAAAAGTTTTCAAAAGTGATTATGTGAAAAATATTAGAGAAGTTTCTAATATAATAAGCAATTCGCGTTCTTTTAATATATATATATAAGATAGTATTATTTAATGTTTTTGTATCAATATGAAAAATATATTCTACTTTTTGTAATAATGTTTTAAAAATATATACATAGCTCATATTTTTATGAAATATTAAATACATTGATTATCTTAGCAGTATGTTAATGAACATTGTAAAATCCTTTTTCTAAAAGCTTCCCAACAACTTAATTGTGCAAGATTAAATTAAAACTGCGATTATATTATTCGAAATATTTAAAAGTTGTGGAATTTTTGAACATCTCTTTTGAAAATTTTTTTCAAAAGAGAGAAATGTTTAAATATTTGAAACACATTTAAAATTCTCAAAGTAGAATCGTGTTAACGAAATAAATGAATCCATAAGATATAACAAACATACAAAATGTAATACGGACAGGTCTATTTAAATTTTTATTTTTTCAATATCTTGAATATATTTAAAAAGGAAATATTTACAGAAAGGTGTGATTAGAAAACGCACACACATAATCCGAATTTTTTACAATTAAATCCGGAGATACCGTGGGCAAAATCTTTTACTCCTTCGTATCCGTTAATTTGGAAACCCTTCATCGCAAGAAAGTTAAGTCATAATACGCCCTTGGGCCCAAGGACCCAGACAGATCTGCCAGGCGAGATTGCGATCCCAGGAGTCACTGCCCTTAGCTGTCTGAACGCCGATACTTTCGACCAAGTTCTACTTGGTCGAAAATCTACCGGATCGAGATTGTTGCCCGTCGGCAATCTCGCCCGTTTTTATTTTGCGCCTCCAAATGAGGATGGAAAAAATACATGTTTACTTGACGCATTCATTAACATAAAAGAATAATTTGTAGGTACACGTAGAAAATAGTAAAGTTTTGTCGAAACAAGATTACCTTATCGGAATTACGGAATTGATCTTTAAAAAGTATCAAAAGATGAGAAGTTTTTAGCAAATTTCGGTTGTGATTTTTTCGACGAGAGATACGATACGTCGCGTAAAGGCGAGGTCTTTCATTTCGCTGCGAAACGAGTTGCATTTGTAAAGTTCGCGCCTGGGCATCGCGTCGCTGAGGAAATAGCGTATTATCTCGGAAACACCGGTCCTCTTCCATGCAAATTCCGCAATAAATTTCCACTTTCTGTGGTGTGCCCGCCGTATTCTTTTTCATTTTTTTTTTCTTCCTTTTCCTTCGTTTCTTTGCCGACCGTGCGCTGCAGTGGCGCGTCGAGAAATTCATGGAATGTCCCCGGTGGTTTCGCAGGCCATTCGTTTCCAGTTCTGCGCAAGCTGGAGAGGCGCTAGATACGATCGTGAAATTATATATATTTATAACACTCACATACGTGTCTCTATTATCTCGTTATTTAGATGGCCATTATGAGACCGCGTAATTCACACCTGCGTCGCTTTGCGAGAAAAATATTTGAGATTTTCACGAGAGATTGGCGGGAGAAGCACGTTTGCCATTTTAATTTCCTGAATGCCATCTAATATGCGATAATATGTTAGAAATAAATTGATGTATGCGGGAAGGAGCTATTTATAAGAGACCTAATTACAACAAAATGATGTTACAAAAAAGTATCTTGGAATGTATACACAGTTTTATCCGCAAGCCGAGCGGATTTTCCTCTTTTGCATTAAAAGATGTTTGCGCAGTTTCAAACACGATAAGTTTTCGTTTTATTTTTCATTCTTGTCTGCATAATATTTTCCTTGAAACTGCGTTGCCATTGTACT